TCTCTAAACTAACACAATCCCGACCTAGTTAGAGTGTAACAAACTAATAAAACAACAAAAAAGGAGCAGAGTATAACTCAAAAGGGAATTAGTCAGAGACTCTTCAGTCTGACTAAAGTCAGAGTCTAAAGCCTTTAGACTTTTTACTGCTCTCAGAGTACTCATGAATTATGATTCTGCCCAGAGGTGATAAAACCTTTGCCCAGGCACTCTTTAAGCGCGTGGTGCGCGAGGCGTTTGGGCTTTAATCACAAGTGTTCAGCCCTGGGAGAACAAGAGGCCTCCTTGTAGTTACTGAGTAACTGTGTAGTATTTCAATCAGCCGGAGCGCGGATCCAAGGCTGGCGGGGTGCTCACTCATGCACTCACGTTGTCAAAGGCTGAATCCACCCCCTGAGCCAGCTGGATGCCGAAGGAGATCCAGGAGAAGCCGGTCCCGATCCACAGGAGGATGGAGAAGCCCCCGATCATCTGCTTGAGGAACTTCACGATTTCGGGGGTGGCTTTGGGAGGAGTGAGAGCGTTGGGGCCGTCCCGAGCCAAAATCTCTGCAGCTCTTGCACTTGAGAGACCCTGCAGAAGGAGGTTTACAATGAAATCACAGAAAAACAGGTTTTTACCCCAGCTCAGAACAAAATTTGCGTGCTGCTGTTTCATTGAGGGTTGTTTGTGTCACAAATGAGCTGCAACTCTGATTTCCAAACCTCCTGATTTCAGAGAGGCTGCTATTAATTATCTGCTATGGAGAAAGAGCTGTTTCTTTATTGGAGCACCGAACTGGGGGCCACATCCAGGAGTTTCCATCAATTAAATATACCTGGACTAGGTGTTTGAAAAACCAGGGGAAAACTGACATTCTTTTGCTGCTGTTTCTGCATTTCCACAAGATGTTTGTAGCTCAGGGGGTTCTTGAAATTCTTGTCTGTGCTCTGGCCACAGTTCAGTGCTTTGATATTCAAATGTCAGGTGTCAAAGGGACTCAGGTGTAGTTTCTCAAATCTAGATTTTCCTTCAGTCAGCTCAATCCATGTAGTCTTTGGCTATAGATTGTCACAGTGAAAAGTGAATTGTGAAATCAAAAGATCAGATGAGAGCTTTAGAAAAAATATGAGGTCCTGGTGCAAAACCCTGAGGTCCCATTTTTGATTTCAAAGCAGTAGCTCAGCCTTCTTCAGACTCGAGACAAACTCCTCTTAAAATCCAGGTCAGTGCTTGCTGGCTTGTTGGTTTTGGGCTTTACTGGCAGCATCAATGCAGGCACCCACACACATCTAATAACAAAATTCCTGCTCCTGGGGAGCTCTGGGGAGGTCAGAGGCACCTGATTGAGGCAGCTCCTTAACGAAGGCCTACGGACTTACTTTGTCAATGCTGGTACCATACTTCTTCTCCAGATCCGAGGTGCTGAGCCTGTGGTCATCCTGCATTCCAAGAGAGACAGAAAATTGCAGTGAGCAGAGCATCAGACTGCTGAAATTTTTATTTCCAAACTGCCTGGATCTGGGAACGTGGATGAAGTTGCTTGTATGACACCCCACATTCATTAATTAGACAAATCTGCATATTGATAAGCAAAACATCTTCCCCTGGAAGATGAGATTTTTTCCCTTTTGATTTGCAGAGTGCTTTTGTAAATAGCTTCCTCCTCCAGCAAATCTGTCACAAGAACAGGGTGGTGTGTTCATGTTTTTGCTGCTTGCCACGAGGGGCTGTGCTTCTTTTGGATAAATCATTTCTCTCTGCATGCTGCAGGGCTCAGAGTGTGTGTGACAACAACCTCTGCCCTTGATTGCCAGGGCAGGGAATGTGAATTATCCTCCTCACTCTGGTGGAAAGAGGCAACAGGTTCTAAGTTAAAAAGGGTGTGGGAGAGGGAAATCTCAAAGCTCTTCTCCTTGGCCTGCAGTGACACCTCTGTGGTATCATTGGCCTAATTATATCTTGTGCTGAACTGAGATTTCGAAGCCAAGAATTTGAGAGATCTCCCAATTGTTTTCTCAGAGTGATTCATGGGTACTTGGGTGAGTCAATTCTCCTGTCTGTGCTTGGGTTTCTCTTTAGAAACACGGGAGTGGAGTTACATCCCCCGGTGGCAAAGACAGCACGGACTGAGAAATATTTACCTGCTGCTGGGCAGATCTTGGAAACGTGGTGGGTGAGTGGATGAGAGAATCATGGAATCAATATCTTATTTTGGCATTCTTTGAGCTTTGAAATGCCATCCAGCCCGTAAATAGCCTCTCCTCTGAGCTGCTCTCACAGCAATCCCAAAAAGAGGTCAGCATAATTACCCTCATGTTTCAGATTGGGAAACTGGAATGTGTGGAGAGGAAACAACATTTCCAAGAGCAGCCAGCAAGTCAGTGGAGAGCCAGGAGGAAAACACAGATTTCTTGATGGCCAGAGCAGTTGGGTTGGGTAAAAACCCCTGTGTTTAAAGCTGGGAAATGCTCTCAGCTCTGGAATCTCTGGAGCTCAATGCTGTGGTTCTGCCTCTCCCTCTGATTCCTGGCTGGCTGTGCAAGTTGTCAGGAAATACTGATGGCAGTGATTCCATCTGGGAAATGGTTCCTTTTTGGGCAGATAATGTTCTGTACCATTGGTGGCTTAATTATACCAGAATCATCCTCTCATTTTAGGTGTTAATCTTGCACAGCATTTTTCTGGCACACTCCAGGAGTGTGAGGAAGCAAATCCTTCCCTGCACCAGGATTTTCAGGGCAGGACATTCCCTGCATTTCAGGGAATGTGTAATGGAACACTCACCAGGTCCACTTCTTTCTTAAGATCTTCTGCCTTCTTTTTCTTCTTGTTGCCTTTTAAGTCTTTGTGCTTCTCCTCTTCATCTTCAATCTCTGTTTTATGCAGATCTTTTGTCCCATAGATCTCCACCGAGTAAACATCGGACTTTTTCTGTAAAAGACCACAAAAAAAAGTCAAAATGTTGCAGATCTACTTTTTTAGACAGCTTACAAATTTCTACTGTCCCTTTCTCCGTTTTCCTGTCTTATCCAGAGATCCATCCAGTTTGTGTTACTGTGATTGTGGTCAGGACTTTGTCAGGTGCAGATTACAGGGATTCCTCTAGGGATGTGCAACACTTCCAGATGTTTATGATCTAAAACAAGTGTAGGAAAATACTTCCCAGGGCTTCAGCAGTGAAAATTACTAATTCATTTATCAGCTCCGAGAAGAGATCAGTGGAAAAACAAAATATTCATGAAAGAAAAGGGGAGGGGAAAATTATCCATTGAGAACTTGCTTGTTCCTGGAGCTTTCCAGATCCAGAACTTCAAGATTTAAATTTTAATTACAATTAATTGTAATACAATTGCACTGAATCAAAGTGGGGAATGGAGGCAAACACCAGACTGAAAGCCAAGGATGAGCTGCTCTCTTTCTGCTCACACAGAGCTGAGAACTGGCAGGGATTTTGCCATCAATTCACATTATTTTGCCAGTGGAATATCAGGCACAGGAAGCTGTTGGCCCAGGGAGGCTGCTGCACCTCAGGGAATGTTTTGCTTTCAGTGGTAGCTCAGGAGCTGTGCTGTTCCCAAAACCTGGGTTAACTCTGCAGGGTGTAGGGTAAAGCTTCCCTCCCGTGCCACTGATTTACCTGCTGGGTAATCATAACGTTCCAGCTCCCAATTATCCTGGAAACCACGTGCCAGGCCGTGGGAGAGCCATTGGGTGACCCCATTCCTGAGGTTTCCTTATGGATTGAACCCCAAAAGCTCAGGAGAGCCCCCCTGGATGTCCCCAAAGTGCAAAGGGGCTCTGCCAGTGCTTGGCTTCCTGAGATCTCCCAGCAATGAAGGAAGATCTCTCCATAACATAAAGCAAGCTCAAATAATGGAAACAAGAAAAACAAATAATAATCGGGGTATCTTATTATTTAACACACTTCTGAACTCAAAACTGACATCTTCAGCTGTCCTGTAATTAAAGGAGTATTTAAATCTTGACATTGTCTCTTGATGAAGGGGAAAGCAAAGAGTTGCTGAGCAGTTTGAGGACTTTAAAGACTGAAATACTGCCCTTAAACACCTGATTTTGCTTGGTGAAGCACATCCCAGGGACAGGGCATGCCTGCTATAAGTTTTGATTTTTTTCCTGCTGTGCTGAAGATTCACAATCTGTTTTATCTGTTGGGATTTTTTCTCTTCACCTTCCTCCTCCTCCTCCTCCTCCTCTCTTTAACTCTCCCACCCAAAAAATCTGTTCAGCTTTTTAAAATCCCTATAGAGCATAGAAACCAGGAGGGAAAAGCAACAGATCTCTCCTGGGAGAATGGAAGCAGATGGAAGAGAAAATTAAAAAACTGATGAAGTTAGGAACATCTATTGCTCACTTGCACGACCTATGTGAACCTTTAACCTTCAGAGTTCCATAAAATCTCAGATTTTGGCTCAGATTTTTGGCTCAGCCAGTCCAAGAATTCTTCCCAGTCCAAACTGTTCGTGCTCAAGGGTGTCTGGTATTAGTTCAGTTTTTACTTAACCTGTATTATAGTAGAGATTCACAAAAGAAAACCTCAGAAGAAACACGAGGGGCAGTTCCTTGGGCATTGTACCCACCTTGACCATCTTGGCGAGTTTATTCCTTTCCTGATGGGGGGAAGCAGCCAAGCCAAAACCTCTGGATCACAAACCAAAACCTCTGGATGAAAAGCCCAAGCCCAGCTGGGGGCTGTGGTGGCTCAGAACAGTCCTGGAGTGCAGAATCTCCCCGAGGTGGTGGGTCCTGAGGCCAGCAGGTGTTAACTGGAATGCTGCTCCCACCTCGGCATCCTCCAGGCAGGACGAGCTCCCTGTCCCAAGCCTGTGGAGAAAGAGCTCTGCTTGCTGCTGCTTTATAAATCAGCATCTTGTGCTGCCACTCCACCCCTCCCCTTTGCAGGTCCAGCCCATCTTCTGTTTCACCTGGAGTAGGTGGAAAAATACCACAGTAATGGGCATGTGGGTTTCAGGTCAGATAGGTTCTAATTATTCCTTTGTAGTGTTTGCTCACAAGTAGGGAACAGGTGTATTATTCATCTTGCTGGAAGCAAGGAGTTTCCTCCAGAGACTTTCCAGCTCCGGGCTCCCCTCGGGATCCCAGCTTTCCTGGGCTAAAGGAGGGCTCTGCACATTTTGTCTCACCTGCCCAGGTGATGTTCTCTTTGCCTGAGGTCCCTCAGTCCAATCCCTGCCTCATTTGGGTGCTAGCAGGGATTTAGTGCAGTGCTGCTGTTTGAAGCTTCATAGCTTGGACTTCACTCTTAATCCTTGCCTCGTATTTCATGTGTTTTCCACCTGCATGCTGAGCTGGGAGAAATGAACTTCCTGGTGCTTTTTTCCAGCAGGGCTCTTGCCTGAACAGTTCTTGGTTTGTCTTGCACCAATTACCAGCTTCCAGGTAGGAGTGATAATGGGATTTGTGACACTTCTGGTACCTGGCAAGTCTCATCATTTAGGATTAAAGCTGCTTCTTCACCTCTGAGACTGAACTGATGAAAAGCTGAGATAACAAGAATGGCTTTCTGTAATTTAACATTATTTGGGGAAAGACTTGTCTGTCATCCATCTGACCTTGCTGACCAACAGCATTTGGTCTTTAATATTATGATCTTTACTCTTTGCTATTATAGATAGTGTACCATGTAATCCATAAACTTTAAATGCACTGGAGATACCGTGTGGTGCCACCAATAAATGACTCAAATTGTGGTCAGAGATATGACGTGTTAATGGAGATAATCAATACTCACTTTATCAAACCGTAGATAGAAGCTGTTATTGGAGGGAAAATCCAAAGGACATCATTTATTATCTCCACAGGAGACTAATTTGTATTCAAATCAAGTTCACAGGAATTTGAGTATCATACCTCCTCCAGCTGCTCCCACTTCTCAGTTTATGTGTGTTGGTCTTTTTCCATGGCATTCTTTAACCCTGGAACATTGCGCAAGGTGCAGGAGTGGGTCTGGAAAGGTTTCGTGTTCAGTTTCTGCTGCTTGATGTACTCAGAGCTGGGTTTTGTCCTGAATATCTCCCTTTCCCTAAGTCTGTGAGTCTGAGGTTTCCCAATGTGGCAAGAGCAGGGATGCATTGGCTGTATCCAGGGAATCTGTGCTGTGTGATAGCCAGCACTGAGATCCTCCTCTCTGCTCTGGAAAGGATCCAGAGCAGGTGATGGAGAGGAAATGTGAGTGCATTTGACATCCAGCTGGAATGCTCAGGCTGGAATTTGGGGGATATGAGATGGGAAATGGCCTCAGAGATGGGGAAATGCCTTCCAGGAATGTGCTCCCACGACATCAGCTCTGTGGGTAAAAGCAGTGCGCTGCAAAATGTGAAAGCCAGCACATCTCACCCTGCTCATTGCCAGGTTTGAAGTGGGGACTGAGACCTCTCACCCAGAGCCAGATGGAAAACGAGGATCTGCATCCAACAATTCACAGATCCACAAAGCAACCACCTTGTGCTTTTTAGCGATGGTTTGTGATTCAGGACATTTATCTGGATCATTTGGGCAGATTTTGCCTTCTATAAACCATGATGGCTTTTGCCTGGGGACAAATGCTAGAAATGCAAATGAGAGAAGTGTTTGGCAGTGAAGCAGCCAGTAACCTGCTCCACACGGGGTATTTATTTACCCTGACACATCTGCCTGCTGGAGGATGGCTCTGTGGCCGAGGAGATGAGCTAGGAACATCTCTGTGGACAATTCCATGGCTCAGGATTTACAGAGGATTTGCTGCTGGCAAACCCCCTGTGTGGAGCTGCCAAGCTCAAAGGGAAAATTCAATGTTAAGGTTCTGTGGCCAAAATTCCATTAAGTCTGTCTGCTGAAGGGCTTTTTTTTCCTGTGAGTTATAAAGCAAGGATGAGGAGAATTGTAAAAAAAGGAAAAATCTCTTGTTTTTCAGCAGAAGGTGGTTGGACAGTTTGAATCCTCCTTGTTAGCTGGGGTCACTTTTCACGACAAAATTTGTGTTTTGTCATTTGGCTGTGCCAAAATGGTCCTGGGAACAGAACCCAGATGTGAACCCAGGCTGAATTTCTGGGCAAGGGCTGCTCCACAACCAAATCCTGCCCCTGGCTTGGCAAGACGTGGCTTGTGCTGAGAGGAACATACCTTTGGGATTGTCACGTGTGCTCCTGGTGTGTCACAACAGCCACAGCTGGGCCCTGCTGAGGGGAAAATGAGCTAGAATTGTGCTGGTTCCTAAAGATCCATCTAGAAACAGAACTTCTCCATCCTTCTGGATTATTGTCTCACATTTATCCACTGGAATTAAGACCTATGCGTGGGAAAAGACATCCAGGAGAGTGTTTGGATGTTATTTAGCACAGGGAGGCCGCATTTCTGAACTGGTAGGGGCTGATCCCAGGGCTCAGAGTGTCAAATCCCCTCAGGTTTCCAGGTAAAAGTGTGGATGCACTGCCTCTACCTGAGGAGCTTTGCAGTGCTGCTTTCCCATCTCGGATGAAGCAGGACGAGCACGGGAGCTGGAAGGACTTGAAGCCGCAGAGAGGACGGTAAATCGATGCCGAATTTTGCTAAAGTTCGCTCGGGTTTTGTTTAAACTCGCTTCAATTGGAAGGATTTTTAAATAAACCTGTTTTTCTCGGCTGTGGAGCGGGCTGGCTGCAGCTCCCGGCTGCGGGACGGGAGAGGGCGCAAGAATCTCTGCGCTCAGCCTTCCACAGCCAAGCCCTGAAAAATTCCCCAAAAATTCCCCAAATGGCCCAGGAATGAGCCCGAGTGTGCCCTGGGGTCCCGGCACATCCCTGCCACCTCCCCGGCAGTGCTGGAGCAGCACGGGGGGAAGGTGGAGCTGCGGCAGCCAGGCTCCAGGATGATGAGAAAATGAGGATTTTTCAGCCTTTCTGGAGAAGAAACCAGGGGTGACCTGGTTGTGACCTTCCCGTGCCCTCAAGAGAATTTCTGCAATGCTCTGGAGTGACAGGACAAGGGGGAGCGGCTTCAAACTGAAAGGCAGGAGGTTTAGATGGGATATTGGGAATAAATTCTTCCCTGTGAGGGTGGCACAGGGTGCCCAGAGCAGCTGTGACAATGGAATTTGGGGGATAGGAGATGGGAAATGGCCTCAGAGACAGGGAAATGCCTTCCAGGAATGTGCTCCCATGACATCAGGTCTGTGTGTGCCAAATTTTACCTTTTTTTCTCCTTAATTTAACCCAAAGATGTTAAACCGTAATTCTGAGGCCATAAGTAATGAGTCAAGCACCTGTAAAAACCTCCCAGGAGCCAAATTAAGACAAAGCTTAAGTGGTATTTGGACAGTGGTAATTTAGACATTGGCTGTAAACCACTCCTTGTCTGAGCATCCACCTCCTGAGAGGGGAAATTGCACATCCTGCTTTAGTGCTGCTCATGGAGCTCGTGAAAACCTGAATTTCTGGGCTTTTTTTCCCCTCCTCATTTTTCCATTATTTTTAATCAAAATGAGCAGGAAATGCTGATGAGTAGAGGGGTTCATTCCCAGCTTTTAAGCTGGCATTTGAGATGCTGAACTGTGTTATAATCTCACTATAAATGCCACCATGACTTGGTGTCTCTGGCACAGCCACCACAGCTTTGGGTCATTTCAGGACAAGGTTTTGATTTTCCAGAAGGATTTGGCCTTTCCCTCAGCCTTTTGAAGCTGAGGTGGGTTCTGAACACCCACAAAGAGATGGGAACTCAGCATTTCATATCTATATATTTCCACATAACCTTTATTTCTTCCCATCACCTGAAGAAAAGCTGGTGAATCCTGGGGGAAGTGACTTGTTTTTCACCTCTAGCCCTTGTTTGCTGAGGGTTTTTGGGTTTCTGCAGCAATATTGGTCACTTTTTGACGTGGACAGCTCATTCCAAACCTTTTCATGTAAACCATCAAAAAGGCTGTCTTTAATTTATAGATCAGGGTGTGCTGAGCTCGCTGCTGCCTGCCCAAAGAGAGTTCAAAAATCAGAATTTACACATTTCTTGTTAGAGGGAATATCACTGAGAATCAATTTTCTGTCGATGTTTTCTGTCTGTGAGGAAGAAAAACAAATCACAAGCGAGTCACAGCATCCAGGACTGTTTTACTCTTCTTAATATTTTATCTTCCTGCTTCCTCATGCTCCTAAGTATGAAGCATTACTGGATTCATATTACTTTAAAAAACAGTAAAGAAAATTGATTTTCCTCCTTGTAACTTCCTGAGGCTGCCAGGAGCAGCCAGGACTAGAAATTGATGCAAAAATTCAGAACTTCTTTCTTTAAACACGGTGATATTCCCAACATTTCATGATTTATAGGAAATTTTAAATTCCATTCTTTCAAACAGCTGCTGTCTTGATGCTTTGATCATTCTCAGGTGAAAAAAAGAAAAATTTCCTTTTAAAAGATTATAATTTTTATTTTAAAATTAAAATTAAATCTGAAATTAAAATTAACTTTTTAAAACAATATTTTAAAATATAATATCTTGATGTGCAGTATGAGGAACTCCCAGAGCCAGCCTGTGGTCTGCAGTCAGAATCTGCTGCTCCAGAACACACCCAGCCCCATTCCTGACAGGCATCACAGCCTGGAGAGTGCCAGAGGCAGGAATTCTTTGGGATGCAATCAGGAAAATGGGATGGTTAAAAGAGGGATGTGAGTTTGGGCTTCTGTGCAGCTGAATTTGCACACACAGGAAGAGAAAAAGGGGTTTTTTTCAGGGGTGTGTTGACCCCAAAGCACCTCTGCAAATCCAGGGGAGGAAGTGGCCAGGCTTGTAAAAGCCCTGGTATGTGTGATGTGTCCTGAGCCATCACAGCACCACGGAACCCTGGAATCCCTGGGGTTAAAGGGACCTTCAAGCTCATCCCGTTCCACCCCTGCCCTGTGCAGGAACACCTCCCCTGTCCCAGGCTGCTCCCAGCCCCTGCTGCTGGAACACCTGCTCTACAAACAGCTGCTGGTGATCTGCAAATGTCCACTCTGCCTGAAAGCCACATCCATTTTTCACCAAAAACCACTTTGAGCAGGCAGGAATTCATTCCCAAATTCACGTGGAGCCAAACTGAGCCTTATTTGGCAAAGGTTTGCTTGGGAAATCTCCGTCCCGTGGCTTTTTTTGGGGTGTTTTTGTGACGGAAAGCAGGTCAGCGCAGCAATGTGACTGCACAAACAATTGCCAGCTGCTTCAGCAGGACGAGACCTGCAGGATAATTCCCCCTGGAAGGTGGCTGAGGTGCCACAGCCAGATGTTTACCAGCTGCATGACCTGGAAAGGGATTAGACCTGACTCAGTTGGTTGGATGTGGGTCAGCCCAGCAGCATCCCCCGTCCTGCCGTGTCACCCCGCTGAACTTGTCACTTTGGCAGGGCACAGGTGGCCAGGGTTTCAGCTGGGAATGCCAAAATCCTGGCTCACAGCTTGCAACAGCTGCTGGCAGAGCCAGGCAGGGCTTTAGTCACGGCTTGCTGAGGCTGGGGCTGGCCCAGGGGTGGCTCGTGGCTCCCGGAGCTGCCGGAGCTGGCACAGCCTCACCTCTGCCACCCCCAGCCCTGGCACTGCCAGCTCTGCAGGAGGAAGCAGAGTTAAAATGGCAGGGGTTGAAAAGGGTGTTGAGAGCTGTGGGTTTTGGTGGCTCAGTGGGAGAACGAAGCGAGCCACGTTTGGGAATGACTGGTTTAAAGCTATTTTTGCGTTTTTGACTTCCCAGAAAAGTGGGTGGATTCTGTGGAGGTGCTCCCGGAACAGGCAGCTTGGAAAAGAATCTATGGAAGCATTTCAAGAGAAGTCTGCTTCCCCCTTTTCTTTCATTCTGCTAATTTATTTTTTAATATTTCTCATTTCCATGCATTATCATCACAGTGGAATTCTGTTGGCTGCTTGCAAGGAAAGGAAGGAAAACATTCTCCACTCAGTTCCTCACACCTTCTGAAAAGGTATTTCAGACAATCTGTATGTGTTTTATCTTTCATTTGTATTTTCTGCTGAAACCCCACCGTCTAGAAACTCTAGAAATTCTATCTCTAGAAATGGCACGTTTGTGCTCTTGAGTAAAATTCAGAGAAGGCTCCAGGGGTCAGAGAAAATGGCCTTGAAATAGCTCAAAGTGTTTCACAACCAGGCTGTGATCTGAGCTTGCAAATAGCATTTTCCCTGTGGAATCTGAGGATCACAGGGGTTTGTTGCACAGCTCAGTGTGCAATCCTGCCTGCACTCGAGCTCAGAGAGAATACTTGGGGTCAAGAAAAACTTGTTTCATGTTTGTCAAAGCCGTGGAGGGGCTGGGCAGGTCTCCATGGTCATCTCATCCAAAGGTGCCACAGCATCTTTTCCCCCAGTCTGGGGATGGACATCGACAATTAAAGGTAAAATGAGGATGTGGAGGAAGGGCTGGTGCCATAAGAGTGAGAGTAAGAAATTCACAGTGTGAAAAATGGGGTTCACACATTTTTTATAGAATATAAAAGTTTAATAAAAAGACAATTAGTAGATAATAAAGTCAAGTATACAGATACAGCTGGGTATCTCTGCATTCACCTCACTGACAAAGGGTTGTCCCTTAAAAACAGAACCCTACTACATATCCATAAATTCTCATCCATATTCAGACATTCTTCTTGGGATTTTTTGTGTTCCTCTGTTTAATTTTTCCTTGCCCCCTTCCCAATAGATCAGTCTTATTGGCCTCACTGGGTTTTATGTCCTCCAATAACGGGTGCCATAAATTTTTCCTTTGGAGGGCTTGGAGGACTGCTTGTCTTCATCTGGACAAGATAATTTTAGGATGCAGGGGGGTCTCTGACTATTTTTATTTATTTTTTTTTAGTCTCTGGGTTAAACAAAAAGTAGTTTGTGCTTTAATATCATGTTATAGCCTAATGTATATATGTATTATACCACTATTTCTAAGTTTCATTAATAACAGAAATAAAAGAAACTATATTAATACAATAAAATTTTCTAATTTTATACATATAACATTCATCAAAATATTTGTGAAAAGCCAATAGGATATGCATTTATAACAACAGGGGAAAATCCTCCCCTGCCTCTGGAATTCCCAAACGTTTTGGCTGGGCCAAACTCCTGCCTGGGTGCAGGAACCACCATGGACCAACTCCTGGCACTTAGGGGAGGAGGTTTTGGGTGCTGTGGGTGCCCAGAGGCAGAGCAGGAGGGATTAAGGCTGCCATTCCCTGGGAATGCCATTCCCAGGCCCCTGGAAGGTGGCAGAGGTGCCCCAGGCACCAGAGCCTGCCAGCCCTGCCCAGCAGTGCCATCCTGAACTGGCCCCATCCATGGGCAGTTTCCACCTCCTGCTCTCCACCTTGAGGCCCCTGGAGCTGCAGGAAAATCCAGCCTCACCTTTCCCCTCCTTTCCTCCTGGGAAAATGCCCTTGACTGTGATTTACACCGGGTATTGTTTGAGTGCTGCTGAGAACCAGTCCAACCGCCCACCCCATGCACACCAGAATAAAGTTTAGTAAGAAATACCTAAAGCTCCAGGCTCGGGGCTTGGCTAGCAATGAATTCCCTGATTTTCAGTCTGCCTGCCTTTGGAAGTGGCTCAGGATAGCGTGGATAATGTTTTGTAAAGCTCTTCTACCCACAAAGAATGCAAAATTTTTAGCTGCAATATGTGCTTCAGTGTTTCCCAGCCTTGTTTTAGTGAAGCATTTTGTGTTGAGCAGCCCTGAAATGTGGAATGGAAAAGGTTAGCTGGGTTTAGATGTTCCCTGCAGCTCTTTGTTCTATAAGTCATGTCTGTTGGATCTGTTTTTACTATGCTCAGCTCGGGGAATGTCACAGGGTTTTATTTTCATGGTTTTAAAAAAAGCATTTTTAAATGCCCTTAGTGAGTGAGAAGGAACATCTGTGTTAGGATTGGGGTTCTTTTCATCAGTAAAGTGAAGAGGAATTGGCAGAGGAGGTTGAGAGCATCATCTGCAGTCTGCAGATGGAGAAAAGGGTCATGGAGAGTGATCTGTGCAGGATCAGCCAGGAAATCTGGTTGAGAATTGTGTCCTGTCCATGAGTGATCCTCAGCAGGAGGATCCAGTGAAAGGATGAGCCCTGACTCTCCTTGCCTGATTTCTGTGTGTCCCTTGCCCTCTTAATTTGCTAAAGAGCTACAGAACAGGAGCACAGAGCTGCCTGGGATGGGATGCAGCTCATCTAATTTAACTCTGCACTCATCACTCCTCCTGCCTTTGTAGCCAAGAGGAAGAAAGCAGCACCTCCAGCCAGCAGTTTCTCAGCGTGGCAGGCAGAGATGAGATGATAATTACCCCGTGGAGGCATTTATCCTCTGCCTGGATAAAGGGAGAACACTCCAGATGAAAGAGCTGCTCTCAGGGCAGGCAGACATCGCCTGTCCTGAGGCACAAATGCACAGGGATGAGTCCAGACGACATTGTTTCAATATTAAAGCGAGATTTGATTTGGTGTTTGTGCTCAGACGTGTCTGAGCCAGCCCCAAACGGAGGCATGCGTGCTCCTTGGGCTTCCTGGGAACACATTTTTCTGGGAATTAAGTTCGTGCTGGTCACACTGATTTGCTGCAGAAATACTTGCAGTTAATGCTGACTTCTACTGAAAGAGGATCTGGCAAATCCCATCAAGTTTTGCTCCAAGAGTCAAATATTTTGAATGCATCTGGGGTGAGATGATTTGTGGAAAAGCTAAGGCTGAATGAGAGGCTCCCTGTGTGTCACCAAATCCATCTCAGTGTGCGAAGTTTTTGTGATGAGTAAGTGACCCTGTTGGGAGCTGTGAGCCAAAATAGAATCCCAGGCTGGTTTGGCATGGAAGGGACCTTAAAAATTATCTTATCCCAGTATCTCTCCACTATCCCAGGCTGCTCCAGCCTGGCCTTGGACACTGCCAGGGATGGGGCAGCCACAGCTGCTCTGGGCAGCCTTTCCCAGGCCCTCAGCACCCTCACAGGGAGGAATTTCTTCTGAATATCCAACTCAACCTGCCCTCCTTCAGCTTAAGGCTTTTGGCTAGAGGGAGAACAGAGTTCTTTTGGGGGTGGGTCTGACCTGAGTGATTCCCAGTGCAGGAGGTTCCTCTCCTGCCACCAGCACCAGCTGCTCCGTGGCTTTGGAGCTGGAAGAGAGCAGACAGAAGAGAACCAAATTACAGAAGATACTCTGAGCTTAATAAGGACAAGGACTGTGAGGTGCAAAAGATGTTTATGTTCTTGATAACCCTGGGAAAATATGGAAAAAGCAGGGGGAAACTGAGTTATCCTGTCCAATGAGCTTCCTTGTGTCTGTTTGCCTGTCCTGCAGAGCTCCCGCACCGCACGAGCACAGTGGATGCTTTTTGGCCGCCAATTTGGGTGATTATTGATAAACTCTGAGTGCAGAGCCATCCCAGGGCAGTGCCAGGGTGCTGGGGATGTGACAGGGCAGGGCCAGCTGGGTGCTGGCGGGGATGGAGCTGCAGCTGGAAGCAGCACGGGTTAATCAGCCCCGGCAATAATTGGTGTTTGCACAGCACTCTGCAAATATGAAAGCCATGCTGAAATGCAAATGATAAATAGGCTGGCGCCCAGCCTGCCCCTGGAGCTTGGCCTCTCTGCTAATGAGGCAGGCAGGCATTTGGGATGAGTGGGAAATAACGGTGTTGGATCAAATATGTGACTTGGGGTCTGTCTGGATGGGCTCATCCCCCTCCAAAGGCGGCCGAGCTCAGAAAACCCTGAGGAGAGGATTGTGCAGCACTTTGGGATCTGACCCCACAGAGTGCCCTAAAAGCCATGGAAAAGCCTGTGATTTATTCCATGTGAGCTCCTGTGTCGTGAGGGTTTGCACTGTTTGAGTTTTCACCCTTGGTGCCGACATCCATTTAATTTTGGGGGCGTGCACAGTTCAGTTACTGACCCAGGGATTTATTGGGCACAAACCAGGCGCTTCTCAGCAATAATAAACTCCAATTTTATCTCCTTGTGATTGTTTGAAATTGCAGAGCAGCACAGAGAGTGTGGTGGGATGACTAAAAAACATCCAAAATGTGTATTATTATTATTATTATTATTATTATTATTATTATTATTATTGTTATTGTTGTTGTTGTTGTTGTTGTTGTTAATGCTGTATATGATATATGATATATGATATATGATATATGATATATGATATATGATATATGATATATGATATTCTATATTCTATATTCTATATTATATATTATATATTCTATATTCTATATTATATATTATATATTATATATTTTAATTTTATTTTATTTTACTCTATTTTATTTTACTTTATTATTATTCCTCTCTCCTATGAAAACTGTAATCACAGCAAATTAAAATATATTTTATTTTACTTTATTATTATTCCTCTCTCCTATGAAAACTGTAATCACAGCAAATTAAAATACATGAGGTAGTGCCTTCCTCCTTGGAAAGGAAGTCAGATACTTCAATACTTCATGTGCACAGAATTATACTTTCAATTTAGCTGTTTCAGAACCCTGAATTTTGACACTACTTGGCACTGGCTCCCCAACATGCAGGAGTTAAGGCTGCTGCATCATTTGGAAGTAGATTACTCTTTACCATGATAAATTTCAAGATTAATAATTTCAGAAGTTTCTGGCCATCCATTCAAGAGAACAAATCCTGGGAACAATGTCTGGTTTTATCAGGTTATTGCACAAAATCAGCATTGCATTCAGATATTGCTGTCTTGCACCCCAAAGGATTTTATTCACCTACTGAAGTGATGCTACAAAATGAGCATAATTTTACCACCATGTGAAACCAAACAGCAGAAAGGAGGAATTATATGCAGTGCTAGCAGGAAACAAAGGCTGGAGCACAGCAGTGAAACAGTTTTGCAAAGTTCAGAAAAGGAAAAATGCACCATAAAGAAAATCGAGCTTAATAAATTACCAGTCCTGTGGGAATTATCTTGTACTCTGAGAAGTAATTCTGGGTGTTTCTTCTCATCAGGATGATGAATGGGCTGGTTCTGCCTAAGGGAGTGTGTTCAAGCGCAAGGTAAGCATTAAAAATGAAATCTCCGTGTTTCTGCAGCTGCCCTTTGTGAAATTGGCCTCTCTGAGGATGAGGCAGATATCAGGGTGCTTCCAAAGGAAGCTGGGCCAGTGAAATAAAGCAGTTTCATTTGGATCCATCAGAGAGAGCCATTATCCCTGGAGAACCCCTGGCTTATGCCAAACCATCTCAGCTACCTCAGGCACTGGATTGTGGGCTCAAAGAGGAGCCAGGAGCTTTCCAGCTCTCCAGCCTCCTGCAGGACAGGTCAGCAGTGGCCTCTGGGCTCACACAGACCCCAGCAGCCAGCAGAACCAGCTGGAAATCAGTTCCTGGCCACTCTTACACTTGAGAGTCCCTTTCCTGTGGCCCTTGGAGGTGTCAGCTCCAAGGTTCTGGATCAGCACGTGCCTTCCTCTGGGGCTGAGTCAGAGGTTAAAGAGTTTCAGTCCAGTTTCTATTTTAGGTTGCTACACGTTGTTGGTCCCTCCTGAGAGGGGCTGGATCTCGTAGCTGATATCTCTGACCTCTCCAGTGATAATCTGTGGGGTGCAGGGTCAGAGTGAAAACTCAGCAGAGTAAAAATCCCAAGCTTGGACTGCAGCAAATGGATAAAGGCTGAGCAGTGCCGAGTTCCTGGGGGTCAGTGACTCCATTTCCTCAATTCCCATCTTTTTTTGGGGTGTTCTCACACTGCACTCCTGATATAATTTCTCTTTTTCAATTTTTAAGCTGTTAAACACTTCAGCTGGCAGAGAAATCACATGCAGGTGGTGTGACCCCACAAATGCTGCTGTGAGTTCAGAGATACATTTGCAGCCACAGCAAGCCTGAATATGGATTTGGTTTTGTGCATTTTCCCTGAGTTTTTTGCTCCAGCAAAAGCCTGGGTGTGCTGTGCAGGAGAGGGAGCTTTCACTTTTGGATACCACATCCCTGGTTGTGATGGATTCCTTTGGTTTTGTGAGTGTGTGGGGTTTGTTGCATTACAGAGCTTGTTTAGGGAGATAATCCACTTATCAGGCCAAGAACACCTTCTCTCCCTACCAGACAACAAATTAGTTCTTCCCTTTCTGAGGGAGATAAAAAGGGATGTCCTAACCCAGAGGAACAGGGCCATGCATGGGGCTGACAGGATCAGAAACAAAAGGAGAAGAAGAAAAAAGGAAACATTCTTCAACATTTGTTGAAGAATGGCTGCAAAATCTGAGTGATTTACTGCAGCAACCCATTCATCAGGGGAATTTGGCCTTGCCTCACTCTAATCTAAATTGAATCTAATTTAGATTCCAAGCAAGGGATGGGAATCCTTTCCTGAACCAAAACAAGCCTTGCCACCTCCTACCTTTTTCATTACTCATTCCTTAATTTGTTTGGGTTTGTTATGTAGGACAGTCAGGAAGAATAGCTTAAAGCTGTGAGTGCTGGGCTGGATCTGCTGTTATAATCTCTGCTTTGCTGCACATGGGCTTGATTTTTGATTCAGTTTTGATGCAGGATTGCTTCCATGCCTCTGCCTGGGGCGCCCAGGAAGTGGGGTGTGAACATCTTCCTTTATTTCTTGAGTGCTGAATTGCCTGGGGGAGACCACTGCAGCCTGGGGCTCAAACAGCTCCTGGTTTTTCATTAAAAATTTCATTAAAAATCAGCTCTGCTCATGCAGAAGCATCAGTCAGAACCATCAGGCAGAACCCTCCTGGAAAGAGGGACTGGAGGATGGCTCTCTGCACCTTTGGGGTGTCCTGCCTTCTGACCTACTTTCAGTTCTTGCTTTATAAGTCAATAAACAGCAAAACTTGGCCTCCCAGTCTGTGCATGTCTGGGGATGGCATCATCCCTTCCCCAGGGCTTGCCAGGGCTGCCAGCACCTGCCCTGGGGCTCAGGTGTGTGCCACAGGTTTTTTCTGAGCCTGTTTCTTGGGGAAAGATGAGATTTGGGCATTTTTTGGGCATTGATTCCAGCTGAGACTTCCTGGAGCACATCAGGGCTGCCTTGGAGCATGGCCCAGACCATGGTGCTGCCTCCTAATTTTTGGATTCCATGCCTGATTCTCTGCTTCTCTGCGTCTTCCCTTCCTCCTTTCTGGAAATCCATCTCCCTTTTGAGGAGTTTGGCTCCCTGGGAATGCTCTGCTGCCTGCAGGGATCTCCTGTGACCCTGTGGGGACACGCTCCATGGCCTGGTCACTGTCTCAGCACCATAAATCCTGTCACACCCACAGACATCATTCCCATGAGAGTCATTTGTCTCCTACTGACTCTGAACAAAACCTTGGGCTGTGCAGGTGGTTAAACCCCAAGGATAAAGGGGTGGATTGCAAATTCAAGACTCGGGAAAAACCCTGCCTGCAAGCAGTGGGGGAGAAATGGGAAAATGGGAAAAACGAGCAGCTAAAAATGCATTTTTCCCAACAGGGATGTGAGAGTGGCTTGGATTTGGGGCTATCAGGATGAATCTGGAGAATTTGCTGGAAGAAAAAGCCAATTAGCAATTGCAGAAATTGCCAGAAAGGGTTCAACCTCCCCACTGGACCAGAGCATGCAGGTTCTGCTTTTGAAAACCTGACTGGCAGTGGTGTTTGTGCCATCCCTGCCCTGCTGCTCCTCTCTGTGCCCTATTTCAGAGCTGTTTGCCAGCTGCCTCCTGATGGAGAGCATTCCCAGCCACGTGAGGCAGGTGGGTGACAAAGCCCAGGCAGCTGGTGATGGAGCAGGGACTGTGGGAACGCTGCTTCCTCCCCGCTTCCTACAGCTGCACCCAAAACAAGAACCTCCAGCACATGTCAGCAGCTCCAGGCAAAGGCTGGGGAGCTTTGCTGGGGTTGCAGGAGGAAATAAATTCCAGTGGAAGCCAAGGCTGGCTTTGACCTCATTAGAGGCGACCAAACAGCTCCTTTCCCCATGGAGCCTCTCCTGCTGCCGAGGTGAGTGCTGGGGGCTGCTGTTCCACGCCTCCAGGCGCTTCTCCTGAGCAGGAATTCTGTCTTCTCCCACAGCCTGCTTTAGTCACATCTCTCTCCTGCTTTTTTCCCTCCTGAAGTTTCCTCTCAGCAGCTGCTCAGCTCTTGGATGCAGTTTGGCACGTCCAATCTGGTGCCACTGTCATTTGGAGCTGAAAGGAATTTGCATTTTGGTGTTCGGGGAGATTTTTCAGGAGTGCAGAGCCACCCCATGAAATATGAGTTGGTGGAATTGAAACTGAACCATGTTTTTCAAATTCTTAATAATTGCATTGAAGGGATCAGCATAAATTATTACTTTGTTAAGAAAGTGGTTTTTAATTAGCTGTAAACCAGCTGGAGATAAGGAATTATGAACTAGCAATGTTATCCTGCAGCTGGAGAGCTTTCCTGCTCTGATTATTGGATTTCCATGGTTCAGTCTGAGATCTGCTGGGCCAGACAGGGCTGGGGTTTGGCTTGGACCCTTCCAAGTGAGCTGAGCTCTGCTTTTCCCTGGGACAGAGCTTCCATGGGGTCAGGAAATGCTGCCACTGCCAGAGTGAGCAGATCCCTGCGGTGGCAATGCCAAAACTTGTCCAAAACCAGGACAAGACAAGGAGGCAGCTCTTCCTCACAGCTTTGCCTGTCCTGTAGGAACCTCCTGAGGCAGAATTTTGGCATTGAGACTAAAATAACCCACAGGAGGATCTGTATTCTGCTGGAAATGCTCCTGGCTGCAGCTGGTCTTCCTGAAAAAAACATTCCTGTGTTTGGAATCGTGCCAGGGGCTCCCAGATCTTCCTGAAAAACCATTCCTGTGTTTGGATGGGTGAGAGTTGTGGGAGGCCTTTCGAGCTGCCTGATGAGCATCTTCTGCTGGAAAAAAACCCTTAAATTAGCAGGACATGGAGTCAGCTTATAGAGAATTGTGGCTATTTGCATATTTAATAACTTGCAAATCATGGACTGCAGGTGATTTGATGCCTCAAGAGGGAAAATGGCATGGGAAGAGGACAAAAACCACAATGAAAAATACTGCCAAGAGGAAAGGTGATTTTAGTGCTGGAAGCCAGTCGGTCAAGGACCCTCTGAAGTTAAAAAGACAAAAGTTTTCAGGAGTTTAAAGCACCAAAGTGCTCCCTGCTGTGCGCTGGCTGCTCCAGGAGTGTGTTAGGAGGTGGGGAAGAGCCCGTAAAGCTCTGCCTAGAAAGGGAAATGAGGTGAGGAGGTTTTGCTGAGCAAGATGAAGGAGGGAAGGGGCAGACTGCCATTGTTAAAGCATCCCTGGCATGGTCATGGGGCAGCAATGAAGGAATGGGGGTCACTGCGGGGGTGGAGGTGCCATAAACTGGTCATTACAGCAGGAAATGGGAAGTGCAGGGCCCTCACCCCAAGCCCAGGTTTAATGTGTGGCCTTGAGCAAATCACCTCACCTTGATTTACCCCTGTTCCCACTCCTCCTCCTGGGAGGGAGGGTTTGACACTCTGTGGGTTCAGGAGATAAAGGGCTTTATTATTTTATGGATGGATGTGCACTCCAAGGAGGTGCAGCATTCACCCTCCTTGTATCTCTGTATCTCAAATTCAATATTTACCGACCCCCAGAGTAGCTGGGAAAGGAAAAAATCATCCTTAATACTCTTAATACTTAATACTCCTTATTCCAGCTGAGGAGCTCTCTGGCGTTTTAGGGGAAGCACATTTCTTTGTAAATTGAGATGATCTTCCAGCTTTTCCTGAGGATGTGTGAAGTTTTATTGCTGCTGCCTCAGAAATGGCTTCATCCTTGTGCCTTCAGAGCATGCACTAATGTGCTTTATTGCCTCAGTTCTCACAGAAACAGCCAGTGTTGATGTTTATTTGTTTGCTGTTGCTCTGAGATGCTGGGAAAGGGTGGTGATGCCTGTGGTACGTGAGAAAAAGGCTTTTTATAGAGCACCTCACTGCTTGGGAAGTGCCATTCCTTGTTTGCAGCAGCATGGGAGGAGGAGGAGGAGGAGGAGGAGGAGGAGGAAGGACTTTTGTCCAGGGGCAGGGAGCTACCCTGTGTGGTGGAGCAGCTGGACAAGGGTTCCATGCAGGAGATGAGGACCTGGTCCTTGCCAGACAAACAGATCACTCCTAGTGCAGCTGGCTCAGCGCATCTGGGAGGCCTCTCCTTTACAGCTCATTGCTTGGCTCTTTTTGGGATGAAATTGCTGGCATAAATCTTATGTGCTTTATAGAAAAAGGACATTTTTTTCCTCTCCCCCTCAAAGGCTTTGCTCAAACACATTTGTGACAAAAAGTGGGCACCCCCCTGGTTTCCTCACCATCCCTGAGGGTTCTGAGCTCTGCCTCCCACTGCTGATCCTGTGCAGAAAAACCTGATAATATAAAATATCTGGGGCTTTCCAATGAAAACCAGCAATCTTTGTAATCGAGGATTGCTTGCACTGCGTGAGGAAAGCCTGAATTAGGTGCTGTAGGTGTGCTGTGAGCACAGGAATGGTCAGAATTCAGTAACTGCTGCTGTGTAGTGCCACTGGAATGGGAATGGCTGCGTTTAGTGGGTCACACCACTGACCTTTCACTTGGTTCTTCCCGGGCATCTGTGGCCCTGTGGATGCTCCCGAGGTATCACTTGATATAAAACTTTTATCAGTGTGAATATATTTCATTGTGCTCTGACATCATCAGGTGGCTCCGTGTCAAAGCTCAGCTGTTATCGCTGGCTGATTGTGCCTGCACGAGGATCCTTCCGTGCTGAATCTACACAAATGGGGAAGAAAAAGAGGTTAGAGCCCAAATGGATTCTGGTTTGATAATTCAATTAATCACTAGGTTGGAAGGGACCTTTAAGATTTAAATGTATGCATTAGAATAAAGAAAATGTTATGAAAGTAACAGAAGGAGATAAAATTAATTCTTTCAGGAGAGCACAAACAAAAACCATTTTTTTCCTCTCCATTAGTAGGAATTTTTGCTCATAACAAAATCCTGCTGGGAGCATGGTGCTGATATTGTGCATTTCTCTGTGTGTCAGGGTGATCAGGACCGACCCTCACAGTGTCCCTTTGTCCTGGAGCACCTCCAGCACCAGGAGGAAACCCTGTTTTTCCAAAGTACCACCCAAAAAGGCGCTTTTGGTGCTGTTAATTTTGGGGCAGGGCAGGCACTCACAGCATCAGGAATGCTCCTGGATCCTTTGATTCATCCCCACACATCACTGGCAGCAGTTTTTAGTCCTGGCTGATTTTTAGTCTGGCTGGAGCTGCTGACCCGGTTCCAGCTGCCTCGGTGACCTCCAGGCGATTCCTGGCTCCTCTCTGCTGGGGGAACCGAGTCATTCCCCAGAAAACCATTCCTGCAGGGGAGCCAGGAGAGGACAGCCAGGCAAACACGTGCAGTTTTGGTACCAGGGCTCAGCTGGAGAGGAATATCTGCATCCCTTTTGCTTTTATTGTGCCGTGGAAATCTAATCCTGAAGGTTGCTCAGAGATGATGATGCAGCACTTAAGTCCTTTATGGCCAGATGCTTTTAGAATGTGTCAGAGCTGTTCTGTTGCAGGCATTTCTTGGCTTTGCCAAACCAAGAAGCTCAAATCTTTGGCCTGAAAGGGGATAATTTGCATTTGCTCACTACATATTAATTTCTGCTGCTGATAAGCTGCCATGTGACACTTCAATGTTGATTTTTTCCTACATTTTTTTAGAATTTTTTAGAATTTCACTCCCAATTTGGTTATTTTATTTAAGAGCACCGATGTATTTCTGTAGCGTTTCACAGCAGCTGGGGAAAGGTGCGATGGGGACACCTCAGCTGCTTGGACATAAATTAAAGGGAGTTTTCCTAAAGAAATGAATTCCAGCTGAGGATGTCGGGCACGAAGCGAGCCCTCGGTTCGGGGTTTGGAGAGTTTGCTGTGGGTACCGGAGGAGGGTTTGGAGCAGCAGGAGGAGGCGGGGAGGCAGCTCCGTGTCCGGGCGGGGAGCGCAGCCCGGCCGGCCCCGGGGGCACAGCGCGACCTGCCGGGAATGCGGGAATTGAATAAGAGAATTTGGGCTCAGATGGAAACCTACGGTGGACTAAATTCCTTTTATTATTTTTATTTTTTTTTCTAATTGCTTATTTGTTTAAAGTTAATAATAATTAAATATTAAATATAAATATAAAGTTAATATTATTAAATATTAATTATTAAATAAAGAAATAATTATTATATATTTTTATTTTAATTTTTATTTTTAATTTCTAATTTTTTAAATTTTATTCTTAAATTTTCATCTTTTAATTTTTATCTTTTATATTTTATTTTTTATTTCTATTTTTTATTTTTAATTCTTATTTTTTATTTTTTATTTTTAATTTTTAATTTTTTAATTTTAATTTTTTTTATTTTTCTTTTATTTTTCATTTTTTATTTTTCGTTCTTTATTTTTCATTTCTTATTTTTCATTTTTTTAATTTTTAATTTTTCTTTTTTCATTTTTTTAATTTTTAATTTTTTATTTTTCATTTCTTATTTTTAATTTTTTTTAATTTTTAATTTTTCATTTTTCATTTTTTATTTTTCATTTTTCATTTTTCATTTTTCATTTTTCATTTTTCATTTTTCATTTTTCATTTTTCATTTTTTATTTTTCATTTTTTCTTTTTCTTTTTTCAAATTTTTTCATTTTTATTTTTTTAATTTTTTAAAATAAATTTTTAATAAATTTTAAATTTAAAAGTAAATTATTTAATTTATTAACTCTGTTAATGTTAATAAATCAACCACTAAAATAAACTGTAGCAGAATACCCAGCCAGGAGGAGGTGCCTGATTAGAGGCTGAAGTGCCAGCAAGGAATTCCCTTTGGAAAATTGGTGTTTTAGGGAAAGAAAATGATATTTTACAGATTCAATGTTCTGAGTAGCTTCTGCTATTTTACACAGCACTTTTAAATATGACCAGGGAGATGTTCCTCACTGACAGAAAACAAAAGACTTTTCAATTCTGTTGTATTTAAACTGGAAAACTTCCTCCTTCCTCCTCCTCCTCCCTACTCCTCCTTCCTCCTCCTTCCCTCTCCTTCCTCCTCCTCCTCTCTTCTGTCTAATTTATTACAAATGTGTTTGTCATTTCAGATGGAAGAGGCTGACAGTGTGCTACGAGGAGGTCAAAGCTGGGAATCCACAGATGGAGGGTGCAAAACATAGCCAAAACCCCAGCAAGTTTCTGGCTCACAATGGATTGTGAATAGAAGGAATAAACAATAAAGAGAATCCTTAAAAACCCTCCACTGCAGTCTCCTGGTCTTTTAAGGGATGTGGGAATGATTTATGTCTGTGTTTACTGACAGCTGGGAGGAGATTCAGCTTTATTTCCTTTATTTATATTTAAGGAAAAGCAGTAGCCAAGGTAAGACAACAATTGCTGACCAAGCTTTCCTCCACTCACAATCCTCAAACAAAACACAATCCTCACACAGAGCTACAATAATTGATGCACTTGTGTGTTTTACAAGCAGTGAGAATCCCAAAATGAAATGAGCAGCTGTGAATGAATTTGTGTGGCAACCTGACACGCTAATGGGTTTCCATCCAGCTCTGAGGTGAAGGAGAGGCTGAAAAGCAAATCTCTGCAAGTGCCACCTCATTGGGCTGGGATGGGGAAAGCAGCGCTTCAGTCCCAGCTCACAAAGGCTTCCCTCTGTGCACTGCTTCATTTCCTTGGCATCCATTCCCAGAAAAACGAGGTTCACATAATTTTTATAGAATTTAAAAGTTTAATAAAAAGACAATTAGGAGAAAAAATGAAGTATACAGATACAGCCGGGTGTCTCTGCATTCACCTTACTAACAAAGGATTGTCCCTCAAAAACAGAACCCTGCTACATATCCATAAATTCTCAGAACCCTGCTACATATCCATAAATTCTCATACATATCCATAAATTCTCATACATATCCGTAAATTCTCACATATTCATTCATTCTTCTTAGGATCTTTGGTGTTCTTCTGTTCAGTTTTCTCTTGCCCCCTTCCCAATAGATCAATCTTCTTGGTGCCATTGAGATTTACATTCCCTGATACCAGAAATGCAATAAATTCCTCCTCCCCAGAGTTCTGGTCACTGCTGTCTTCATCTGGATAAGATAATTTACAAATGCAGGAGTTCTCTAGCTATTTTTTTTCCCCTCAGTCTTTGGGTTATACAAACCAAAGCAGTTTTTATATTAATACTATGCCAAGGAA